GGGGTGGAGGGCATAAGAATAGGCTCAAGAAATGTTACCAGTAAATGAATGAGGGGTTAGACGCCATTGACAACATACCTCTGTGCTTGTGAGGCCTGTGGAAGGACTTCTTGGGACCGGTGTTGGACCATCCACTCCCTCCCTGTTAGGAGTCTGTGCACATGAGGGAGAGAATCCTCAATCAAATCAGTTTCAGCAAAGTAAGGAGCTCTGTTGGCTCCCACAGCTGGAACGGGTACTCCTATAACTCAGAGGAGGTGTAGGGAGAATCACATGCTGGAATGGCGTGGGGAGCCCTGAAAATCTCCATCAGCCCCAGAAAAGCTCACCTGATAAAGTGCAATTTTAGTAAAAACAGTGTGCCAACTCTGCCAGCACAGCTTTCCCTGCCAGCACTCATACACCAGCCTCCCCATCAGGTAGCTACCTGCAGACTCGTCCTCTGGAATCAGAGACCAGGAAGGGGCTCCCGCATAGCCACAGCCCAGGACAGACTGATTGGTCAGCCCGGGTCACGCACCAGTCACCGCTTTATTGAAAGTGCTTGTTAAGTTGTCTGTCTCAGCAGCCTTGACTTTAAAAGGATAAAGTGATGGACTCGACCTGAGTCTTAGCAGGCACCCAGGGTCAATGACGCATGATGTGACTTACCAACCTAGCAAATCCCTACAATTTCTCACCTGGGAGAGCTCGTTAAAAACGCTGAAGAGGGGCACCTGGGTGGCTCAGTGGGTTAAAGCCTCTGCCTTCCACTCAGGTCATGATCCCAGGGTCCTGGGATCCAGCCTCATTCCTCTCTTTCTCTCTCTCTCTCTGCCTGCCTCTCTGCCTACTTGTGATCTCCGTCTGTCAAATAAATAAATAAAAATTTAAAAAAACAAAAACAAAAATCAAACCAAAAAAACGCTGATGCCCGGGCTCTACCCAGGGATTCAGATTCGGCTGCTCTGGAATGGTTCCGGGGCAGTATGACTGCTCCCTCCTCTTCTTGAGACCTCGGGAGGGGCTCCCAGGTGCTAAAAATGGACCCCCCCCCCCCCCCGCCCCAGCCCATCTTGTACAAACCCCTGCTCTCCCTGCAGCCTCATCCTCTGGCTTGTCGAGCTCCTGGGGCAGGTCACACTTTGGAACATGCCTGGAATCCTTACCCTACTTCCCTTCCCTTGCCCACCACCTCCGCCCGCCCCCCACAGCACTCTTGCACACTTGGAAAACTTCCCTCCCCACCCCGCACCCCATCCTGGGCTGAAGGCCCCTCGTGCCCATGTTCTGTGTATCCGCTGCCAGAGTCTGTGTTCTGCTTTATTGACCGTGATTGTTAAGTGATCTGTCATCCAGCCGTGACTTGCCGCCCCACGCGGACTTGCACCGCAGGAATCAATGGCACGCACATACACCACATCAGGCGTGGGCTTGGGGTGCTCGGATCTCTGGTTTAGTAGCCAGTCATCGGGTGAACACCTGACTTTACTCAGCCTCAGTTTCTCATCTGCAAAATGGGGATGGCCGTAGACCTTAGCTTAAAGTGTCTAGAAACGTACTTAGCCAGCACTTGACATAATGTGAGAGCGCGTCGAAACGCAAGCCAGGATTACTGTCAGTCTTCCTAAAAACAAATCCTTCAGAACAGCCCACGAGACACACCACCTTTTTGGTAAAGCCTTCCCTGGGCTGTTAGTTACTTACCCCTCACCTTCCTCTAATACTGGTTTCTACCAGCAGTGCAAAGACAGGGTCTGTCTTATTTATTTCTTTATCCCTTAGGGACTAGCATGCCGTAGTTCTTTTTTTTTTTTTTTAATTTTTTTTAATAAACATATAATGTATCATTAGCCCCAGGGGTACAGGTCTGTGAATCACCAGGTTTACACACTTCACAGCACTCACCATAGCACATACCCTCCCCAGTGTCCATAGCCCCACCCCCTCTCCCCAGCCCCCCTCCTCCCAGCAACCCCCAGTTTGTTTTGTGACAATAAGAATCTCTTATGGTTTGTCTCCCTCCTGAGCCCATCTTGTTTCATTTATTCTTTTCCTACCCCCCAACCCCCCCACTTTGCATCTCCACTTCCTTATATCAGGGAGATCATAGGATAGTTGTCTTTCTCCGATTGACTTATTTCACTAAGCATGATACCCTCTAGCTCCATCCACATCGTCGCAAATCTAGCATGCCGTAGTTCTGCATATGCACTTATTGACTGAGGACTCAGGCCCTGGATATGGGAACACCCTGTGGGTACCCAGAGGAAGGGAAAGTTGGAGCTGCCAACTTGCCAGTCTCTGAGAGAGCTTCAACCTTACGTAGAGCCTTGCCTTTCGGAAATGCCCTGCCCTTCCGCCACACAACCCCTCTGTCTAACCATGGAGGCTGCGGGGCAAGGCTTCAGTGCTGGGCCCGACACAGCCCATGCTGGGTGATAGGGAGCAAGAGCCACACAAGGGGAGATATCTAACTCAAGGCTCAGAGTACAACCTAGGGGAGAACCCAGAAGTGGCCACGCTCTAGAATAGGAACTGCTTATAAGAAGTCAGCCACGCTTTGAGTTAAGTGAGTTTCTTTGGCAAATAGAGTGCTGAGTTCCATAACCCGGTGTTCCAAGAAATTCTTATTGCAAAGACCTGCGGAATTGTCAATAAGCTGGTTGGTTTGGCCAGTAGAGATGGATTGCTCAAGGCCAACATGACCCCATACTGCTCTTTTGGGGGACTGCCTTTCTCTTGATAGTCTAAACTATGTAAAGGCCAAATCTCTACTTTCGTGATGTCCAAATATAGCCTCACACATCTCTCCTCGTGAGGAAAAAAAAAAAAAAAAGGATGCCGACTGTATCCCTTTCCTAAATCATGGACTTACGTCATAAGAATTGGATTGCCTCACAAAATGGCGGCCAATCTTGTAGCAGGAGCTCGGGCGTTCCCATGGCCCGGTGCCCCTCTCAAACTGTATTTGTTTGCAGTCTCAGGGTGACAATATTATCAGCCTGCCCCTACAGACGATGAAACTGAGGTGCGGAGGCTCTAAGTCCTGCTTCCAAAGGTCCACCCTTAGGCAAGGACCACACTGGAAAGGCTGTCCGGTCTTCCAAGCCCAGCAGTGCTTGTGGCTGAGTCACTGTGGGGGCTACCTTGCTGAAGGATCCCCTTTCTCATTAGCAAGAAGCTTTAGAACTACTGGGAAGGGCACAATCCCGCAAATGGTATTAATGGATGGACCTCAAAGGCGCCTCTGTGCCGTCGGGCTCTGTGCCTGCCTCAGTGGACCAGGGCTGTCCTAGGATTCTCTGGAATAAACCGTGAGGTCTGGCCAAGTGGGGGGGTGCTCTAGAAGAATGCCAGGAGAGCCCTGGGTTGGGAGGTGCTGGACTTTCCACCCGACAGAACCCTAGCATTTTACAAATCAGAGCTGAAAATTATCCCCAGTTTGGGGAAAAGGATACTTAGAGCCTGTTGGGTGGTGACCTCACTCTTTGGGGGAAATGGGCAGTGCAACTTTAAAGATGAGCAGTTGTCTTCATGACGTTTTTGCACCAAGAGGACCACAGCTTTCTATGGCCCCATGGCACAGCTGGCTGAAACAGTAGCCCCCTTTCTCACCTGTTTTGCAAAAGCCAGATTTAGAAGACTGACTGAGTTGTGACTTCACAGGACATAGGGATTTCTTCCGCTTGCCCAAAGCCTGCTTCCCCAGAGCTATCCTCCCCTCCTGGCAGAGTCCTAAGCGCAGGCGAAGCCTTGCAGCCTGTGTGGCCTTCAACAAGTGAGGACTGCGATAGTGCTTAAGAGAAACATCAAAATTGGATAAAAATTCAGAATTTTTTTCCAAAGAGCCAGATGAGTAGGCTTGGAGGAGAGGTGAGGGGGGCCAAGGGAGGGATTGGTTCGACGCAAAAACACTTGCTCTGGCCTATTTGCGTTCCATCCAAAAGATGTTTCTCGGGGAAAGTTGCCAGTCTCTTAAATATCCCAACAGCGGCAGAAGAGCCGCAGGTCCTAGGCAACCTTGGGGAGGAGATATTTTTCTCCTGGAAAAATAAGCGACTGAGTTAAGGGAAGTCGCCACCCTGATGCCCTCCCAAGAGCGGCCTTGGTGGCCTTGCCCTGGCAGCCCCAGAAGGCCGGGCCCGGCGCACCGCAGAGACCGCTGTATCCACACCTCCTCCGGGGTGGCAGCCGTCCTGCGGCCTCCGTCAGGATCGCAGGCCCCCAACTCGGGACTGCAGCCAGGGCAAGTACCGGGGAAGCAGCGAGGTGCGCGAAGGGGATGCGGGAGGCTTAGAGTCCCGGCGGGGTGGGTGGCCCGGGGTCCCGGAGGGAGGGAGCCTCGAGGTGCGTTGGCGGCTGAGAGCCAGCGGGCGATCCCGGACACCCTCGGACAACTCAGAAGCGGATTTTCCAGCCTCCTGCCTGGGGTGGTGGGGGGCAGGGGGGCAATTCTGAGTGAAAGAAATGAACCAGGGGGGTGTGGGCGGCGGCGTCGGGAGGGCAGTCTGGTTGGAACCGGGTCCTGGGATTTGTCTCCAAGCGCAGTTTCTTCTTGGGTTGGATATTTACAGGTTGGATTAGGGGGGCGCTCTGCAGGCCGTCCGGGGGCGCTGGGCCTCCTCGGTCTGGGCTGCCGCGGGGATCGGGGAGCCGGGGCGCACCCTGCACCCCCTGGGCCCGGGGTTCCGGAGCTCCCCGCGGCCAGCGTCGGAGCCCCTCCGCCCGGGTCCCCGCCCAGCTCGTCCCCCCCCCACCCCCCGCGGGCCGCGCTGAAACCCGAGCGCGAAGGGGCGGGCCGCGCGGCGGCTGGGGCGGCGGGGCCGCGCCGACATTGGAGGGGACCCGGGGGAGGGAGGGCGAGGGAGGGGCTCCCGGGGAGGGGGGGGCGCGCCGGGCGCCCGCGGCCGAGGGGGACCGAGCCTCCCGGCTCGCTGCTCCCGCCGGCGGAGCGAGGCTGCCCTTTCTCCGCAGCGTGATTTATTTTCCTCTTCTTTTCTTCTAAACTCTTCTTCCAGGGAGAGGCTAGTGGTAACAGGCCGAGCTGGATGGATGGGTATGGGGAGAGGGGCAGGACGTTCAGCCCTGGGATTCTGGCCGACCCTCGCCTTCCTTCTCTGCAGCTTCCCGGCAGGTAAGCCACTGCCCCCGGCGCGCGGGGACGGCCGGTCGCCGCTCCCGGGCCTCGCCGCCGCCCCTCGGCCATACTTCTGCGAGCGGGTCGGAGCCGAAGTTCGCCGCCGGGACCCCCGCCTCCTATTTCCTCCGGTCTTTGTTTCTCCCGCGCCCCGCCGAGGGCACGATGGATGCCCGCGGGGACCCGGGCCGCGGGGGGGGGGGGGGAGTAGAAGGACCCCGCCCGGCTGCCGCTGGAAGGAGCCGGAGCAGGGAGGTAGCAGGGGCCGGGGGCGCCTCCCTCCTTCCGAGAAAGGGGGTGCCGGGGACGCGCCGCATCGGGGCCCCGAAGGAGGGGGGAGGCAGAGGGAGCGCGGACTCGCGGCGGGGGGCACTTTCTCCGGCTGCTCGCCCACCAGAGTGCGAACCTGCCGGGTGCCCAGGGGTGGAGCCCGGGCCGCCCCTGAGGTCCCAGGCGGGTCCCCGGCCGCCCCCTCCTCCGGGACCCTGTCCCGTCCCGCCCCACGCTCCTGCCCACGCGGGGAAGCCCACGGACTAGGCTCACGCGAGCCCGGGTTCCTGTTTGATAACATTCCGCGTCGCCCCCTGTTTGTTTTTATTGTGTCAGAAAGGGAGAGAATTTCAGAATTAAAGCTGAAAAAGCCATCTGTTTCCAATGAATCCCCCATAGTTTTTCACAATGTTTTTGGCAGATCGCTGCTTTCAAATTCCTCCGAGCCCGGACCTCTTGTTTTTGTTGGGGGAAGGGAGACCAACTCCACAGAGAAGCATTTGTTCCTTCCCAAACGCTCCAGTTTCTTCACTTTTTTTTTTTCCCCCCCTTTCGGGGGGAGGGGGAAAGCACGAAACTTAAATCCCCAGTCTGTTTTCTTTATAATGTTTCATAAAACTTTATTTCATGTTGGCCATATGCTACTCACAGCCTGGAAACGCCAGTTAAATCCTTTATACCCATTTTTTCTCTTGCTTAAAATACAAATAAACCCAGTGTCACGGGCCAAATGGTCCCCGATGCAAGGCGGGATCTCTCGGCCGGCTCCATTGTGTTGCGGGGTGCCGAGGTGTCTGTTTGCAGAAGTGCGAGCCTCTGCGGCCGGGCGCGCATCCGCAGCCCCCGCGCGCAACCAAGCTCTTTGCAAGGAAAGATTTCGGTTAGACTGGGATTGGGTTGTTTTGTTTTGCTTCCCAGCCAACTGGGTTTCAGGAACTGGCAGAACTGGGCAGTCCGGGCTCTGCCTGGCTGTAAGCTGGGGCTGCCGGCGGGCGGACGCTGCTGGCAGCGGTAAGGGGCAGGCGATCAGTTTACCTTCTCGCCCCAGCCGGGTTGCGGGGGCCTCCGGCGCCAGCGAAGTCCAGCGTGTCCAGCTCACTCAGCAGCTGCGTGCCCCAAGGGCATCACGGTGAGCCACAACCTGCTCCCAGCTCTGGATTCCACTGGGGAGGCCAGGGCCAAGGACAAGATGGGGGGGGAGGTCAGTGACCCAAAGAAACCTTGGACCCTCATGCGCCCCCGTCGGGGAATATTAATACCTCTATACAGTGAACCCAGCAACGAGTGGCCTACTCCCTCCCCCCTTCACCCACCTTTTAAAAGGCCTTTACCCCTTTTACAGTAGGGCCTGGCTGAAAGGCTGATTTGATTCTCTTCCCAAAACTAAGAATAATAATAATAAATAATAAAAAGGACAGTCTTCTTTAAAAAGAAATCCACCTTTTGGAGGAGCAGGACTTTGCCAGGTGTGCATCTCAGTTTGGTCTAGATAAAGATCCGGCCAGTTGGAAGTTTTATCAGATGGGTTGATAAATAGCTTTTGTCCCTTGGCTGCCTTGGGGGATGTGATCTCAGCTTGGAGCTGAAATTGAGAAGGGGGGCTTAGAGGCCCTTAAAACAACACCTTCCCGCTCTTAAAGGGGCAGCGCCTGTTAACTGCTGGAATTGGGGAGAGGAAAGGGAGGGCCGGCGGGACTCGCAAGGAGGCAGCTGCCAGCACCCCAGTGGTGGTGTTTTCCTTGTTGCTCATTTCTTGTCTCCATCTGAAGATCTTTATTTTAAAATGTACCCCTCCACACACTGCTCCCCCCACCATTCCCCCCACTGCGGTCCCAGGAAAGCTGGTGGGTTATATAATTCACAACACACATTCCATCACTTTTGTTTCCTAGAAGCCCCTTTCATTTTTGGCTTCAAGGCTGGTAACTAAAACCTGGCAGATAGAACAGATAGCCGCAGCACCGTCATGCCAACTGGCTCGTGTTTCTTCTAATTTGAGGCCTTGACAGCTGCATTTAGTCAAAATTGCCCACCTTACTGAAATCTGAGCTTCCAAATACACCGGGGGCTCCAAAAACTTGCGCGGAATCTGGGTCAGAAGACAAGTTTCTTAAGAGATTTAAATGGGTCCTTTTCGCAGCGAAAGACAGACAGACTATCCTCTTCTTGGACCCAATGGCAGAGAGGCTGCTCTGGACTGAAGTCGAGAAGCTGTGGGTCTGACGGAGAGCAGGGAGAACCAGCGGGGAGCTGGAGAAAACCCAAAGCCCTGGCAAGTGTAAGGCGTGGAGACCCCGGGGGGCCCTGCCTGCAGGGCCTCTCCCACTGAAGACAGGTGGAATCTGGCTTGAGCAGGCTCAGGAAAGAATAGGTTTGTTCAGCGCTAGTTAGCTTGAACAGTTGCCAGGAGTAAACCCAGAGGAGTGCAAATTAAATTGGACATAGTTATGTGGGGAAAGATGCCTTAACCTCTGTAGACTGAGAGGATATGTGTCTTTGGAGAGTGTTTACAGGGACTCGCCCAGTGCCTATGGCCCCCTGGCATGCCTGCTGGGTTCCTGACTCAGTGGCAGCCTTCAGGACCCTCCTCCCAGCATGGCTGGCGGATCCCCAGCCTCCTGATGGGAAAGGGTTCTGTGGTAGTCCTCAGGCTGCAAGGCTGTGTGCCTAGACCGTTCTGTGCCCACCGTCGTTGGGGATGGACCAGTGGCCACATCTAGCTGTGGGCGGGGACGGGGGTGGGGGAGAGATACATAGATGCTTCTTAAACTTCTAAATCACCATGACTTCATCAAACAGATTGCTAAGAGAAATGCATCAAAGGGTTGTAGATATGTTGGCCTGTTTCCTATCAACATCGGATGAGTGGGTGTGGTCTATACTCGCACAGGAGTTCTTCAAGTCTGGTGCCTGGACCCACAGCCTCAACCTCCCGCAGGAGCTGCTGGTTAGACCCAGACAAGCTCTGGGCCCACGCCGGACGCACCGAAGCCCATACCCCAGGGTGGGACCCCGTAGTCTGTAACCTGCCAGTCCCTCTGGTGGCTTCTGAGGTGCCCTCCAGTGTGAAGACTGCCCTTCTAAAAATTATTGCCGGTCTTTTCCCCTCGTTCCTTTCCCTTTACTTTTGAACTGCACCGGTTACAGCAATGTCAGTCCTCAAAGGGAAACTAAGGCTTGTGGAGACCAAGGGCCGTCTGCAGCGTCCAAGGGCATCTGTGTCATTACAGGGATGAGAAAAGTTCTCCCAGAGCCGGTGCTTAGAAATGTGCAAGCAAGTCAATTTGCTTATCACATTTTTTGTTATCCCAGTGGGACTTGGTGTCCCAGAGGGAGAGAATGAAGTGATGTCTGGTGGCAGGAGCCAGAGGACAGCGGAGCCAGCTAGCAGGTCGGTGTGTGACACAGCAGAGCCTTGGCTCCCAGGAAGGCCAGATGTAAGATCCTGTGAACGATTGACCTGTTAGGCCCTGAGGGTGAACTGGGAATAAGGAGAGGATTTCGTTTCTTTCTTTCTTTCTTTTTTAAGATTTTATTTATTTATTTGACAGAGATCACAAGTAGGCAGAGAGGCAGGCAGAGAGAGAGAGGAGGAAGCAGGCTCCCCACTGAGCAGAGAGCCCGAGGCAGGGCTCGATCCCAGGATCCTGGGATCATGACCTGAGCCGAAGGCAGAGGCTTTAACCCGCTGAGCCACCCAGGCGCCCCAAGGAGAGGCTTTCTGGTCTTGTGGCTGAAGAAGGGAAACCCGTCTGCAAGGTTGAAGTACTTGCTAGCAATCACCCCAGAGCTCAGCGGAGAAGTGGGGACAGGTGGTCCATGGGCTCAGATAAGGACGCTCTGTGCAATGGGGAAGAGGGCGTCCTGGGACCCTGTGGGGGTAAGAGGACGAGGTGGGGACCAGTTTTTAGACTGGGGACACGTGGTTCCTGCGAAAAATCCCCTCTTTGGTGAAATATGCAAGGCCCGGCACAGAACTGGGCGGAGAACCCCACCTTTCTGTTTTGACTGCGTCGTTGACTACCATGCTGTTCCCATGCTTGGCTCAATTCAACCTGCAGAAAACTGAAGGCGCGGTTTCTTCTAGAGTGACCAACACATCCTAGCATACCCCGGACATTTCTAGTTTGAAAGTTAAACATCTGGTCCTTAGAAGTCCTCCCAGTCCTGGACATACCAGGGTGGTGGCTCACCTAAGATTCCTCCCCTCCTGCACCCGGGGCCAGTCTGTTTAAACTGCCCAGAACGGTGAAGTGACAAGTGTGATGTGGGCCTGTCCCTTCAGTCCAGGTGCTGGGGGCTGGGTCTCCTTCCTACACCCTGTCCTGTCTGTTCCCATTGTCTCCTTGCTACAACAGCTGGCCAGCCCTAGGAGCCCCCTCTCCAGCCCCCCAACCCCCGTGCACAACCCCAAATGAGTTGTTCTAAAAGCCCTGCTCGGGAACTTGAGCCTCCTTGTAGCCTTCTTTGGGGAATCCAAAAAGGAGGACCCTCTGACTTCTGGCCCCCGCCCCCAAGCTTCTCCCAGGCCTCATTCCCATGGCTTCTGGCAAATCCGTCGGTCCCAGGTCACTCCTGCCCCCCAGACATACAGACATAGTCTGCCACCACCCCACCATGCCCTCCCTGTGGGCAACCCCCAGGACCCCCGTGCTCATGCCACTGCCCATTTTGGAATGGAAATGCCCTCTCAGTCAAGTTCAGTGCTGTCTCTCGGGGTCCGTGCC